TTAGAAAGCTTATCTTAGTAGGATTAATGAGTTCAAGACATTGAAATAAGTTTAATTAATAAGCGGTAGTTTTTGTTTCAGTTTATTAAAAATTAAGATTCGATAATGAATTGCTAAGCTTATCCATGTCACTAGGCATAACTGTTGGCCAACAAGATGGCAAAACATATATTTTTGGTGATGTTTGACGTTTCCTGTCCAGAGTGCAACATCGAGCCTGTTATAGAAAATATTATATGAACTGCTCCTATGAACAGTTTTTGAAAGTTCATAAAAAAACAGTACCTATCTGATGTCTCCGAATCAGACTTTTATAAAGAGGGCTATTTGTCCATAGTCGTACTGTTGGAGTCGTCAATGCAAGTAAGTTTTACCATTTTAATTTAAATGTAATATGTACGTCTTATACTAAGAATATTTTAGAAGAATTTAATATACTTAAAAATTATTTTGAAATCATTTTATCAGAAGCTACATACATTGGAGTCCACAAACCAATGTTTGATGGACGAAAATAAAAGGCTGGAGCAAGAAATCGAAACACACATAGAGGATATAGGATATGCTGAAATACAATTAGTAAATAATTTTCAAGTTAATTAATATATTTTCTAAGAGCAATTTTTTGGTAGTTCAATTAGGGTCATCTGCCGATTTTAACACTTGAACCGCCATAAAACTGCCTGCTATGATATGGCGGTTAACGAATTAAATATTTGATATTAACTATGAATATGCGTTAAAATGCAGTTAAAATATTACAGAATTTAATAGGGCAGTGTTTTTGAAATTGGTAAGGCCATAATATAATAATTTGTAAATAGTTTTATTTACTTTAGAAAGAAATGAAAAAGAAAAACGAAACACTAAAAAATGAAGTTGTCGATACTGTTGCAGAAAACAATAGTTTAAAGCACAAAATTACTACATTGGTAAGACAAATTAAATATGAGATCTATAAGTAGAACCTAGTATAAAAATAAATTGTATTACATACCTGATACCTACAGGAAGAGGAAAGTGAAAAAATGATTACCTTACAACAAATCGACAAATTAATATAAACCAAATTTGCTACATTTGAAAATAGAATTGTTAAGAGCTTAACAATTTCTATTGATGACAAATCGGGCATAATCAATGAAGTAAAGCTAAATGTGACTGAGAAACATGATGCAGTTCTCTCTTCTTCAGTGATTCCTTCGTCTTCAACAGTTATTTCACCTTCAATGCTCGTTTCAATGGTTCCTTCCTCTTCACCAGTTTCACCTTTACCGGCTAAATCAACCCAATCAGTGTATGATGAATTAGCAGACCTGAATATAAAACAAGTACATGATTTACATCATAATATTTATTTACCATAATACTATCCAATTCTAATATATAAATCACACATTTTCTGTTTAAAAACCAAAAATGTAGAATTCTGAAGTTATTATTTAAGTTGTATACTTACTTAATTTAATTTAGTGCACAGAATGGTGGTGTCTGGTACATTCAAACTTTGAAGTTTTGGTTAAAACGGTTAAGCCAACGTCATATGAAGACGAAATTATAATAAGAAGAGCCAAGTCACGGTTTACATACTGGTCGAGAGATAACACGGTAATATTATGATGAAGCATGATTCAAATATTCAATGTGTAATAGAAAATAATGAATAATTTTCTATAACAGGCTCGATGTTGCACTCTGGACAGGAAACGTCAAACATCACCAAAAACATATGTTTTGTCATCTTGTTGGCCAACAGTTATGCCTAGTGACATGGATAAGCTTAGCAATTCATTATCGAATCTTAATTTTTAATAAACTGAAATAAAAACTACCGCTTATTAATTAAACTTATTTCAATGTCTTGAACTTATTAATCCTACTAAGATAAGCTTTCTAAAAAATAAGCAAAAATTATGATAAACATTAAATTATTTATTTTACAAAAAAATTCATACTTACATAATAAATTATTTAGTTTGTTTTAAGATTAAAATATAATATTATGTTAAGAAATACGGATATTTTATTCTTTTATTCCATATTAATTTATAGTCATCAGATACCAGTAGCAAGCAATGCAAATTTGCATTAATTGCTGTTAAAATTGAGCTGTCTAGTCATATAGTTCACTGTATTTTTTGATTAATTATATGTATAAACTCTACCAATTGCCACTGAAAGAAAATTAAAATATTTTAACCCTGGTTATTATTTATTAAAAAAAAATGCATACTTAAATAATTGATTGTTTAGTTAGTTTAAAGATCATAATATAATATAGAAATATTTATGTATATTTTATTCCTTTATTCCATATTAATTTATAGTCATCAGATAGGTACCAGTAGAAAGCAATATGAATTTGCATTAATTTCTGGCCAAATTGAGTTGTCTAATCATATAGTTCACTGTTATTTTTGTTTAATTACAACAATTCTACGAATTGCCACTGTAAATAAAATTAAAATATTTGAACCATGGTTATTATTTGTCAATAGTATGTTTAAATCATTTAATAAAAAAAATTAAATTCTAAAATATTAATTTTAGATTGAACTTACCATTAAATTATACAAATAAAGTTGTAGGCAAAGTATGAAATCGGATTCCCATATACATAATAACATTGCTGATTGGATAGAAGTATATTTTTAATTAAATTCAAATTTGGTAACCAAAATACAACATTAAAATACTTTCAGAAAATATAATAGGTATGCAATATGCATTGGAATAATTGGCTTGAACTTTAAATTTATATTTTAAATAATACACATAATTTAGTATTTACTTAAAACGTATTCTGTGGTTTAACGTTCAAAGAATAATAATTAATATTCCATATTTGATAGTGGGAAACTAACATTAACGATTAACCAATAACCACATGCTTTCAGAAACAGTTTACCGGCATTTATTATCGTTTATCTACCAGTGTTGGGACTATCTAGATAAAATTATCTAAAAGATAATCTAGATAACGTCAAAATTATCTTTAATCTTTTATCTAGATAAATCCAGAGTATCTCTATCTTATACTTATCTTTTTGTGTTTTTTCTGTCGATAGATAATAGATGTTAAATCGAGCAAACTAGAGATTTTTTTTTTAATTAAATTAAATTTTTTTTGTTAAAATAAGATTTTATTATTTTATTTAGCCAGTTTGTCATAATCGTACAAATATTAAGATATAGGTAGGTCTTAATAAATAATAGTTTAAATTAATCTATATCTGTTAATCATTTATTTACCTATTAACTTTTAAGAATAATAGGAATATTCCATCAAACCTTAAGTCATTAAATAAAAAAGTTATTTTAAAAGGACAGCCAAAAGTTAGACCATAAATGTTATTTTAAATAATTATCTTTTATCTTTTATCTTTATCTTAGATTATGCCTTTAGTCATTATCTTTATCTTTAATCTAGATAAAAATATTGGTTATCTTTCCCAACACTGTTATCTACTAATACGTGATAAGACCGTATACCAGGAATCAGTAACCAATGCTATATTGTCTAACCATAATGGTAAATTATAAAATGTTATTTTTAGAATATTGATAGCTGATACAGCAGCGTGGTGCTGCTTTCCTAGTCGTTCACTGACACTCGGTGTTCCGGTGGGAGTGATAATACGATACTTTTTTTTTCTAATAATATTGTTTATCTATCTTGTTATTATCGATTATGACCGTTATGGGTATTGTTAAATTGAGATAAAATTTCGTTTTGACTTCTGGTTTTTACTATTGGGTTGTTAAATTGCCCAGTAGCAATAAATTGAACAAATATTTGAGGCGCATAGAGCTAAAACGGCTTAACCCACAAAATAGGTTTTTTCAGAGACTGGCAATACAAGTTTCTTCTATTTTTCATTTGCATTTTTTTAATCACTGAATTGTCATAAAACATAAATTGAAAGTTATTTTTGAAGAATAAATTTGTGTATTTTTAACTATATATAAGCCATTTACAAGCTTTAAGTTTTCAAAGTTGTAATGTGGGTTAGGCCACTAGGAATTTTCAAAAATGAGTAACTTACAAAAATGTTTGACGGTTAGTCCACCTCTGTGAAATATAATAATTCCCTTTGACTTACATTTTAATGTATATAACACAGTTATATTAGACAAAGTGTTAATTGTTAAAAATTTACTAAACTTGCATGAGAATTTTAAATGTTTCATGCTGAGAACAAATAAAAAATTACTTTTAAAGAGGATTCTATACCTATAAAAATTATACCAAATAATAACAGCAATTTTTTTAAATGAATACAATTTTTGAAATATTCACAAACCTTGTTTATAATATTAATGAAATAACAGACAAATTATTATAACATTTTGTATCAGAGTATAATAATATAAAAAATAAAATTGATTTCTTTTCTTTGATGATAAAATTCATAACAGTTTTATAATAATATGTACTAAAATCTTAATATTGTATAAAACAAATTAAGACCTAACATAATATTTTAATTTTATAATATTTAGGTAATAATACTACTACAACTTATTTATTAAAATAACAAACTAATTGATACAAAAAAAAAAAAAAAAACAACAACTTTTTAAATGAATACAATTTTTGAATATACATATTCACAAACCTTGTTCATAATGTTAATGAAATATTAGACATGTTGTATCACAGTATAATAATATAAAATACAATAAAATTCATAACAGTATTATAATAATATTATGTATTAAATCCTTAATATTGTATAAAAAAAAATTAAGACCTCACATAATATTATAAATTATAATTTCAAAATTTTTAGATAATACTATCAAAACTTGGTTATTAAAATAAAAACAATTTAACAGTTGTATAATAACAAAATAAAAAACTAATTGATACCAAAAAACAAACAACAAACTTTTTAAATGAATATAATTTTTGATATTATATTCACAATATACTGTATAATAATATAATATTATTTTTATTCATGTTCTTCTTCATTATAATAAGGGTCTGGAAAATTTTAATTGTTCTGTCTGTTAACTTTGAGTTTATGATAAAAACTGTGTTTTATTGGAGGTATGAATGGAATTAATTCCAATAAATCTTTTTTTTTTAATTCTGTTATTGTATGTCCATTTGGATATAACAAATCTAATTGTTTAGTGTAGTCTTCAATATTTGAATTTCTTTTTCCAATGTAAACTGAGTTAAAAGGGTATTCTGTATTATTTGAATACTTATAATGGAACATAAATGGCTGTTCTTTTTTATAGTTAAGCCATTGGATTTTCATCCACTGTACCTTATCAGTTATCATTAGTTACATCAATTTTTCTATTAGTTATTTGTTTTTCCAATGACTTTGTTGAGAAAATATCATCTTTGGTCATATTTACAATTTGAAATGGATTGGTTTTTCTAGCAGATGCTATAACAGTTTTCCAATCATCAGGTAAGTGGATGTCTGGATGGAATTTTTTTTGCTTTTCAACTAAGCCAAAATCTTGGTCACAAGGCAAAAATGTAATAGTAAAATCACCTATACCGAGGTATTAACACTACCGTGGTTTTATACGTTATACCACATTGCCAAACAAAATTTGAAAGCATAACTGGCCTAACCCAATCGTTATGGGTTAGGCCATTTTAGCCGGGAAAGTAACATTACAATTGCAATGCCAAAACGACGTTTGTGCTGCCATCTAGCGAATAATTTTTTTTGTGGGATAGGCCCTTGTGGATTTCAAATATTTTATCAATCTGAAACGTTTTATTACATAAAATAGAATTCAATTTTTTGTGGGTTAAGCCGTTTTAGCTCTATGCGCCTCATTTCAGCATTAATAAGTCGTAAACGGCTTACTCAAATTAAATTCTGTAAACGTTGAAATTATTTTTTTTAGTATGTTTATAAATTTTCGTTATCGAAAATAGGTATTGCCATTTGAAAATCGAAAGTTGATAGTGTTTTATCAAATAAGGGAGGAAGTTAAAATTTTCTAAATTGTAACACAGTGTAAAATAGACAAATAGTAAAACCTAGAAAGTTTGAAAAAAAAATTATTTTAAAATTCCTAATACTTCCAGAGATATTAACTGGTTCACGATAAAAAAAATCACCCTGTATATATTTGGAGTCTTAACTATCACCATAATATGTCGATGTGGTTCTAACCCTCGCATAATAACAGTTTTTACTATGATGTAGACGGTGACAACACATGCGAGTGTAGCGTTCTCTAAATGAATATCTAATGAAAAATAATCTATAGACATGCTGTTACAAGTAATCAATGAATATTCAGGAAAATATAATTTTAGTATATTGCTCGTACACGGTGACATGTAGGTACACGTGCGGGAGTCATTTCTTTACACTATACAGCCACACAGTACACACACTGTTATACTACATTCACACGACACGATAAACACACGCAAACTAAAGAAATTGCCTATATTTAACTTATTAAAAACAATCGGCATATCGTCAATATACAGAATTACGTCATGGGTTTTCTCAAAATAATTGTTTTCGATAACTGCACTCCGTTATCCTAATCATTATCAGCCATTGTCACATTTCCAGAGTCCAGACTGCACGACTGCATTATCTAAATTGGGTTTGCAAATATGATGTAGGATTTTTATTAAATGAACTGATTTTTAACTTGAAATACTTTTCTATTGATACTTTGAATGACAGGATTGAGTCTTTTAATTATGGCCCAACAGACATAAGAAATAGACCCACATTACCTATTGAAATTAATATTAAACGTCCAGGTTGCCTAAAAATGTCAGATTCAGAAATGTTATGTTTTATGAAATATTTTGGATTAATAATCGGTGATATGGTTCCTGAAAAATCAGAATTATGTGATTTATATATTGTTTAGAAAAAAACTCTTGATATTCTTTTCTGTAAATGGATAAGAAATGAAGACATAATTTTGCTTGAATCACTTATATCTGAACACCATGAAATATATTTACGTCTAATTGGTGGTACGAGCTTGAAGCCAAAGCATCACCGCATGGTGCATTACCCATTTATTATTAAAAACTCTGGACCGTTATCACTTTTCTGGTCCATGCGTTTTGAAGCAAAACATAGGGAACTCAAAGAAACAGCTCATTCTATTACATCAAGAAAAAAACATAACTTTGACTATATCAATGAAACAACAATTAAAATATTCATATAAGCTTTTAGCAGCAGACCCAAATGTATATACAAGTAATATACAAACTGGTCCCATTATATCATTATCGAATGAGTTAATTCAACTTTATATTCTAAAAACATTATTCCTTTCCGAAAAAGTTAATTTTTCTGCTGATGATGTAATTTTTGTTTCATGGGTTTCCATAAAAGGAATATTATACAACTGTAAAAATATGTCTGTTGTTTTAAACTTATGTGAGGAAAATAATTATATGTTACCATCTTTTGGCTTAATACGGTCAATTTGCATTACCAATTTAAATAAACCATTTGCAATTTGTAAAAAATTTAATACTCAATACTTAGACGAACATTTCCAAGCATTTAATGTAATTTCTACACAAAATTCAATATGTATTTCCTTAACTAATTTAGAAAACATTTACCCTACACATCTTTGTACTATTTCTAATGGGTTAACATTTATGCCATTAAAAATATAAGCATAAATATTTAATTATTATTTTATACACATATTTTAAGTATCATATTATGTATGTAAATATTTAACAATTAAAATTTTGTAATATAACACATTTTAGATTCTGAGTGAAACGATGAATGTATTGATTTTACAATGATGTGTGTTTTTTTTTATTTTTTATTTTTTTTTTTTGTGTCTGTGTACACGATAAGTAGTCGAAATAATGCTTCGATTTTCGACTTCAGTATCTTGTTCGATTGGACAGTGAATATCGTTGGTGTATTGGGGAGGTCAAAATTTAAAATTCCCAGTACTTTTCAAAAGCGCCAAGAAAAACAAAAGAAAAATTAAGGAAAAACGGGAATTTTTACGCAAAATCGATTTTTCAGAAATTGAATTTGGTTTTTGGTGTAACTTTAAAACAAATGACCGTAGATACATGAAATTTTCACTGGTTTTTTATATTTGCATTTTCTATACACGATAACATTTTCAAAATATTTTGATTTATTTTGAACTGTTTAGGGACATTTTCATTTTTAAATTTTTTTTAGTTTTTTTTCTAGAAATATCAATAAAATTGTATTTGTTGGTTAAAAAAACTTGAAAATTTAATAGAAGGCTCCTAGTATATTGTTTCAAAGGCAGATGAAAAATATTAAAAATCGTTAGTCACAGTTTTTTTTTATAAGCATTTGAAGTTAAAAAATTGACAAAATATGGAAATATCACGAAAATTAGCAAATTATTTTGAGTTAAGAATTCGCAAAAATTTTTCTTTTCAAATCTAAGATTTGAAAATGTAATACAAGATTACTCATAAGTTTTTCTACCTTTATCAATAAAAAAATGTCTATAAGAAAGTCAAATTAAATTTTTATGAGCGTCTGAAATTCAAATTTTTACAACATTGGATATTCACTCGATTTCTCATGTAGCGATTTCCTTATTTTGTTCTTATTCATAAACGAATAACTATAGATAAATAAAAATTTCACTGAATGTTTAGATTAGCATTTCCTATACACCATACAATTTTGAAAATATTTTGACTCTTTTTGAGCTGTTTACGGATATTTTCCTTTTTCAATTTTTTTAGTTTTTTTTCTATGAATATCAATTAAGTTTTATCTGTTGGGCCAAAAAGTGTAAAAATTTAATACAAGGCTCCTGATATATTGTTACAATATCAGTTGAAAAATATTAAAAATACATAAGCACAATTTTTTTTTATAAGCATTTAAACATCGAATTTTGACAGAATTTTTCAAAATCTCGAAAATTATTAATCATCGTAATTAATAAATTATGAAATTTTCAGTTTTTGCAGCTAAGGATTGAAAATTTAAAACAAGATACCACGTAAGTAGTTAATTCTCTTACCGAAAAATCTAAAAAATATATAATCACAGTTTATTTTTATAGTCATTTTATGTTCAAATTTGGACGAAATTACATATTAAAAAAGCTAGTTATTTTGTTGTGGTTATATAATATTATTCGTGGGTACCTACTTGAAACTTCTAAAGTGTACTATTATATATCTATGATAGTATCAGGGTTTGTTATTGATGTTGATGTATAACGTGTTATAATTACCTAATGGATATTGTGATAATGTGATATGATTAATTTTTAATTTATTATAGGTCAATTTTTTTTTAATACCATAGATATGTATATAATTTGTCTTAAACCTAGACTGACATACCGTCTTCGCTCAGAATCGTTTTTCTTATACAATGATATTGTATCATTGAATTCAAATTTAATAGCATCCATTATACAGTGACCCACTTGTAACCCACTGTACAGCAGAGCGACATCCACTTACCCACCTTTTTAAAAATATATTTTTGAATTAATTGATGTACCTACCTTAATAAATGTTCTACCTATTGTATATTAATAGGTACTTAATTATAGTACCATATTATAGCAGACAATTTTTTCAGCGGGGCACTTAAATTTTTTTCTGTAATTTTTATAGAGCAATATAATACTTATCATCTAGGTATTTTCTTATGACGCCATCGTTCATAAGAAAAGTTTCAGTTGGGGGACATTTCCCCCCAGTGCCAACCCACTGGCCTAATTAGGTATCATGTCAAATTTTCAACTATAAAAATATGGTAAAACCAATAATTAATTTAGTTATTTTTAACAATGTTAAAATCATTAACAACTGTAATTTTTATAATAAGGATAATTATTCATTTAGTTGGATTAACAGCATTATATAACTTAATACAATAGTTAAATCAACTAAAGTTTATAATAATAAATAGTAGTCAATTGTATAGTTAAAATAAAAATAATTATCTTACTAAAAAAAATAAGTTATTTTAACTATATTTATAGCTGTCACATATATAACTATAAATTATATTAAACTAAACATAAAATTAGTTAATGTAACTGATTTTTTTTTCCGTGAAAGTAATGCACCTATATCAAATCAAAATAATCAAGAGAACATACCTACTTCAATTAAGAAAAATTAAGATAACTTACCTACATCATGTCAGATAAACAAAATGCTTGTACCACTATCTAAAATATCTGCAAAACTTCCAGCATTACCAGTAGCAGTGAGACCTATATCAAAACGTCGACCTAGAGCAAAAATGCCAAGCTTAGAAATTACTAGCTCACCTGTGAAATCTATTTTAGAAACAAAAATTAAAAACATACTATTTTGTGAGCAACAAAAAGAAGAACGGATGAATAAAAGAAACATACCCTAACCTAACTTAACCTACCTATTAGTTAAAGTTATTCCTTGATAGTTTATGTCTAAGAGTTAAAGAAAAATACCGTTTTCTTCCATACATTTTATTTTGGAATGATGATATTTACATTTTGAGATCTCAATATTTTGCAAATCACCTAAGCAATGTTTAAATAAACTAACAATGGTTTTCTAAGGTATATTTTAAGATTTAGATATAAACTTATGAAAAATAACAACTATAACTCAGGAACAAAAATTGGGTTGCACAATGCAATGATTTTTTTTTTAATTTTCAGGTGCTTTAAATAATGTATATGTAACCGGTAATATGGATAATACGGTGTTTTGCGAAATGCCTTGGCATTTTATCAAATGCCAAAATCACTCGGAAATATACACAATACGAGCTTTAACTAGGTATTATGTATAATGCCAGAAGTGAAATAGGAAATATTATCAAAATAAACAAAATTCTGTTTGGAAATCCGCGCTTTACCAACGGCTTTACTTATCGTTTATCGTTAATGCGTGTGCAGCCGTGTGATGTGCACGATTTGACACAATAAAGATAAGAATCTAAATCTTTATTGCATCAGATTCATATTCTACTATAAAAATAATAATAAAATAAAATAAAAATTCCTATTAGAAAAAAATAATTAAATTTACACGTTCAAATGGAATTAATTTTTTTCTTTTTTCGTTTACTGATTTTGTTTATTATTTTTTTAAATAAATAAAATAAATAAATTATTTTCATGATTTCTACTGCATATTAATAGGTCTTTCGATACTTTTTAGTACATAGAAATCCGCACCTTTGAAGCCCTGCTTAAACTACTTTTATAAAATACAACCAACTATTTTGTAATTTTTTATTTATTTCTGGTGTCGTAGGTATGATGTGCTGGTTGTACAAGGAAAAACGAAACTTATATTTCCTGTAAAAGACGACAATGTTGTGCTGTATTATGTGCAAACCAGTGAGCTATTTGATATATTGCAAGCCACACATATATCAATAGGACATGGTGGGCGTGATCGAATGATCAAAGAACTTGGTATTAAATATAAAAATATAACACGCAATGATATAGAGACATTTTTGCATTTTTGTTAACCATATTAATAAAAACAAAAAGGCTTGAAAAAAGGAGTGGTAGTTAAACCAATAATATCTTCAGACTTTAATTCCCGATGCCAAGTTCATTTAATAGACTTTCAGTCTCATCCTGATGGAAAATGTAAATTTATTATGGTGTACCAGGATCACCTCACTAAATTTGTTGTTCTCAAGCCTCTCGAATTTAAACGGGCTGAAGAGGTAGAATATAATATTATAGATATTTTTACGTTGCTTGGAGCTCCTACTATTTTGCAGTCTGATAATGGACGAGAATTTTTAAACCATATAGTGTCTAATTTAAGAAACATGTGGCCCGAATTAAAAATAGTACATGGCAAACCAAGGCACAGTCAATCTCAATGTAGTGTAGAACGTGCAAATCAGGATATAGAAAATATGTTGACAACATGGATGCAAGATGAAAAAAACTGACACTGGAGCGAAGGACTTCGATTCATCCAGCTTACTCCGTAAAATGTACAGCCAAACTTATTGGTAGGTAATTAATAATTATCATCTGATATAAGCCATAATTTCTCCTTCGTTTCTTCATAATAAGGTGCCTTATGGTTTTTGGCTTTAGCATACCGCATGCTAGCCTGTACCAATATTTATGATACAATTATTTTTATAACATTTAAAAACTAATTTTCCTCGGCATAAGTCTTTTTACTCTAGAGCTTTTGGGTATTCTGTTTTGAGATGGAAATGATAGATCGTTATGCTGTTTCTGTAGTTCTGCCGGCTACGTGACGTCAACCTCGTACATCCGTCTGATTGGCGAGTTATCATCCAAGTCGTTGAGTCCAAGTCTTCTATAATCCTGCTAAGTAGACTGTTATGACGCATATCCTATTAGCTTGGCTCATCTTGTTTTTAAGGTCTTCAAAAAGCTTTGTGTTCCCGGCTCTTCGGTAAACTTTTTCATTTGTTTTGTGTTCGTGTGTGGCGTCCGTAGCATGCACACTAGTTTTGCTACGCTCCGTCATTTTATCACCATGACATATTTTTCACCTACTTTTCTTCGCCAAAAAGGTTCATTTAGTGTTAAAATGAATATTTAAGTATCAGTTACATCCTATTCATGCAAAACTTGGTCTTACATCAATATGTGAAGATTTTCTGATCTAAACGTAACGTATTATTATTAACTTTTAATATACACATTACAATTTCGTAGTAGCGCTATTCATTATCGCTTCGGTTACTCCGTCGTCTTATCGCGCGCCGTGCGCGGCGGTCTGTCAAGACTTTGACCCCACCTGCAATGCCACAATCTTCTACACTCCCATTCAAAGACAAAGATAAAATGAATAATCCTAAATTAAATACTACAAAGACAAACAACGGTGACCCTAATCAACGGACAATCCAACTTAGTAAAAATAAATCAACTGCTACGAAGACTATTCACGCCTCTGATGTAATGGATACTTCAAATAATGATAACTCGTCGTCGGACGGATGGATCTCATCTACGTAAAATAAAACTAAAAGAATTCATTCAAATTCTCCAGATTCGAGTTCACCACGAACGCCAACATATAAAAATAAAAAAATAATCATTCTTCTCCACGAATCAGTATGAAGTGCTATCGCAAGATGATCCTTCATCCGCATCTCCTTCAAATGATAACAATTCAGTTTTTATTCAAAATCCTACAGATTCTATTAATGTCACCCCAAAAATTCAGCGACCGCCCCCAATTTTTGTAAGAGGTTTATACAACTTTCCTGACCTGTGCACTAAGCTTATCGGATTAACCAGAGTAGATAACTTCTATTGTGAATCATCGATAGATCATGTGAAAATATTGACAACAAACCCAGAATCATATAGGTCCTTGGTCCACTTTCTGAAAGACCAAAAAGCAGAATTCATACTTTTCAACTTAAGGAAGACAAACCATTACAAGTTTTAATTCAAAACCTCCATCCAACCACGCCAACTGAGCTAATCAAATCCGAGCTCGAAATGCACCTATTCGAAGTTAGGCAAGTCTCAAGTGTTCTCCATAAGGTAAATAAACACCCATTACCGTTATTTTTCGTGGACCTTGAACCAACTGAACACTCCAACGACATCTACAACCTCACGTCATTACTTCATACGTTAATAAAAGTGGAAGAGCCATACAAGCCCAAAACTATAAACCAATGTTCAAACTGCCAAGACTACGGGCGCACCAAATCCTATTGCGGTTACCTGGCACGCTGTGTCCGCTGCGGTGCTCAAAACATGACGTCCGACTGCCAAAACTCCAGAGACACCTTTCCCAAGTTCGCACTTTGTTCCAGAGACCATCCTTCAAACTACAAAGGCTGTTCGATCTACAGGGACCTTCAATGACTCCAAAAACGAAAGCCAAATAATCAGGTGGCAAATAATATTAATCCTAAAAATATACATGTGCAATAAACACAACCAGTGAAAGCATCCTCGACATACCCACATGCTGCGAATTATACCTACACCCAAGCTCCTCCAGATATTAATATACTATTAGCGAGCTTCATGAACGAGTTCAAACAATTAATAAATCCATTAATAACTCTTCTCACTAAAGTAGTCTCAAATCTCTTAGATAAAAAATAATGCCCTCTTCCACAAGAAACTCTATTCTAATTCTCCAATTTAATGCCAACGGCCTTAAAAATCACTTAAATGAATTGCAACTAGTCCTTCAAGAAAAGCGCATAGACTTTGAGCTAATTTCAGAAAGTCATTTCACTAAACTCTCCTACGTTCCCATTTCCGGATATAATCTTTTGAAATCAGACCATCCAGACAATACAGCCCTTGAAGGTGCTGTGATCTATATTAAGCCCTCCTCCCTCCTATATAAGTCACTTTCGAACCTCTGTCAACCTTTCTTACAATCATGTGCCATACTTCTATATCTCAATAACATACCAACTGCAATAGCAGTAATCTATTCCCACCCAAGACATAATATGAACATACAAAATTATGTAGACTATTTTAGAACCCTTAGTCATAATTTTATAATAAGAGGCGATTTTAATGCTAAGCATATTAACTGGGCCTGTCGTGTAAATAACCCCAGAGGAATGGTACTTTACAATTATACAAATCTAAAAAGTTACAATCTTCTAGCTCCATCAGGACCAACATATCAAGATTACTTCCCTACGTAAAAAGACTGACATACTAGATATCTTTTGTCTCCAATACACCATCAAACATATTTCTCACGACTGGAAATTTCCTTGAACCAACCTCGGATCACTCAGCCGTACTTTTAACAGTCATTGCATCCCAACCTATCCGCTCTTCACCACCCAAACCCTTTCAGCCGAATGCAGATAGGTGTAGATTTCACGAACTAGTTGATCAAAATATAGACATGAAGATTAGTCTCAAATCAACTCAAGAAATTGATGATGCAATAAATAATTTAACAAATGTAATTCAATCTGCAGCTTGGGAGGCCACACCTACTCAAGCGCAGATTTTAAACAATTCCTTTTCAATTCCAGAACATATTCGCATCCTGATAGCTAACAAACGCAGAGCTAGGGCCTTGTTTCAACGCTCTCGCCTTCCATCACATAAACGAAACTTTAATAATCTGGCTAACTCTCTAAAAAAAATACTTGCTAAACATAAAAAGCATCTTCAAGTCAATTACCTTACTAATTTGTCACCAAATAATTTGGGATGCTATTAAAAATTCCCTAAAAAACGCAACACCAAACACCCCGTTAATTAAACCAGATGGCAGTCTCGCCTCCTCAGATACTGATAAAGCTGAACTACTTAAAAGACATCTAGCTGTAACATTTAGCCCTCACACTGAGATACAAACCCCTCAAAATACCAAGTTAGTTAAACAGTATCTAGATAGCCCCCTTCCTCTCTATCTACCCACTAAATCGTTTACTCCAAATTATGTTAAATATGCTATACAGAAAGACAGTCTTAAGAAATCTCCGGGCTATGACTTAATCACTGTGGAAGTAGCCAGGTGTCTCCCAAAAAGAGCAATCGTTCTTTTAACAGCCTTATATAATGTCGGAATAAGATTAACATATTTCCCCCTACTTTGGAAATTTTCAATCATCATTCTATTCCATAAACCTAAACCCTGATCTACGTTCATCCTATCGACCTATAAGCCTCCTGCCCTTCTTCGCTAAAATATTCGAAAGACTTATACTAAAAAGAATCCTTCCTTGTATCTACTCTAGTAATGTACTTCCTAATACTCAATTTGGGTTTCGTGCCAATCACTCTACAACTCACCAGCTGCATAGATTAGTTGATGCCATATCTTTTTCACTTGAAAAAAAATACTGTTCTTGCGTATTTCTTGATGTGTCGCAAGCATTTGATCATGTCTGGCACGATGGCCTTCTCTATAAATTAAAACTTTTTCTTCCACCAACATACTACTTGCTGATAAAATCATATTTAACCGACCGTCACTTCCAAGTCAGATTTGGTTCTTCCGTTTAAAACATAGCAAACATTAATGCAGGAGTCCCACATAGTGGCATACTCTCGCCATTTTTATATAATATATATGCCGCTGATCAACCTCTACCTCTCTAAATACAACTGTAGCTGAGTTTGCGGAGGACAAGGAAATTATAGTGATGCATGAAGATTCAATTTCTGCTTCCCAAAACCTTCAGCATCACCTTAACTTACTATCTGACTGGTACGATAATTGGAGAGTTAAAGTAAATCACTATACACTACCTTTACTCTTCGCATTTCTCCCTGTTCTGAAGTTTCCTTAGCTGACATACCTATACCTTCATCTCAATCTGTTAAGCACCTAGGGCAAACCATTGATCGTCGCCTCACCTGGGCGCAACATGTAAGGGAAAAAAAAACTCGCCCTAAATGCACTCATCCGGTTGCTCAAAACATTATTAACTAATAAACATACTAAATTAAATATCAAATTGCTTATTTACAAATCCTTAATTAAGCCTATGTGGACATATGGGCTCCAACTATGGGGTAATTCCAAAAAATCCAATCTCAACAAAATAAAAACGGTTCAAAACAAAATCCTACGCTCAATCACCAATGCTCCTCCTTATGTATCAAATTTTACTCTCCACTCTGACTTAAAAATGAAAACTATACATGAAGAAGCCAAAACGTATTACAAACGTTTTTTCAACAAACTGTCTATTCACTCAAATCCTCTAATATCCGGTCTAGCCACGATTCCTGGAAACCCTCCATGACGTCTAAAAAGAAACTGGTGCAGAGATCTGATTCATGAATAACGGGAAAAAAAATGTACCTATAATAATAATTAAAAAAAATATTTAGTTACACAAATATTTAAGCAAAAGGAAGTACGATCACTAGATGGTTTCTTCCCTCACCCTATTCATGTTTTTTTAATATAATGTAGCACATATTCTCATTATGCCTATGGGTATAGATTGTATATTCTCTAATAAAATTAAAAAAAAAAAAAAAATTTGTTATGTGTTCTGTCCAGCTTATTCTAAGCCCACTGTAGCACGATGTCTCGAACGCTAGAAGTCCCTTTTCTTCTGTTTTACTTATGCTCCAAGTCTCCATACAGTGATACACGCTCCAAACATAAGCCTTTAGTAGGGTTTTCTTCACTTTTATATCAATATTTCTTGATACAGTAGAGCCTCGATAGTCCCAACGAATTCAGACCGAGCATCGTCCGGATTACCGATTTGTGGGGAGGTTTTTCAAGATTACCTACTCAAATGACCGAGGTTTTATTTTTAATTTCATAATCTTTAATTTTGAGGTAGAAATGATAGATCATTATGCTGGTTGTGTAGTTCTGCCAGCTAGGGCTGCGCGATTATTTTTACGAATCGATTATTTTTAACGAAGGATAAATAATCGAATTACCGACTTATCGAATAATCGGTTAATCGAATAATCGAATAATCTAATAATAATCTGGAATAAATATAGAAATAGATATTTACAATCTACATAAAACCAAGAAGTGTTAAAAATTAAAAGAAAATATAAGAAATATGCATGCATGTATGCACTTAAAATAACCGAAATATGCAACCAAATATTTTTTTAATGTCAAATTAAGTCACACCAAAGTCCGGTTAAAAAAATTCATGAAATTCAATCATTGCGGAGTATGGGTATAATTTTTAATTACTCCGTTTAGCATTATGTTTTGTTAAATAAATAATTTTACATAATATATTATATAATTTTTTAATCGTTCTGTTTGGTATTGTGATATAATACCTCTCATATTTTTGTTTATCGTTATTATTTATAATTACATTTACAAATTTGACCGTTTTTTTATGTGATTTATAATGTTATTAATGTTAATATAACGTTTTAAAGCCCTGGGGCCTCGGAAGTCTGCAGAAGTACCTACATGGAAGTACATGGAAGTACAAAGAAGTACTTGGAAGTACCGAAATTAAATAATTATTATTCAAGTCTCAACAAAACATTTTACCCTCATTTGTTGT